TCCCTGAGTAACAATTCTCTGGCACTCAGTAAGTAACAATTCTGTCTGTCCCTGAGTGAAAAATTCTGTGGCCCTAATTAAAGTTTCTGTGGCCCTAAGTAACAATTCTCTGGCACTCAGTCAAAACAATTCTGTCTGTCCCTGAGAGTAACAATTCTCTGGCACTCCGTAACAATTCTGTCTGTCCCTGAGTAACAATTCTCTGGCACTCAGTAACAATTCTGTCTGTCCCTGAGTAACAATTCTCTGGCACTCAGTAACAATTCTGTCTGTCCCTGAGTAAAAATTCTGTGGCCCTAAGTAACAAGTTTCTGTGGCCCTGAGTAACAATTCTCTGGCACTCAGTAACAATTCTGTCTGTCCCTGAGTAAAAATTCTGTGGCCCTAAGTAAAGTTTCTGTGGCCCTGAGTAACAATTCTCTGGCACTCAGTAACAATTCTGTCTGTCCCTGAGTAAAAATTCTCTGGCACTCAGTAACAATTCTGTCTGTCCCTGAGTAAAAATTCTGTGGCCCTAAGTAAAGTTTCTGTGGCCCTGAGTAACAATTCTCTGGCACTCAGTAACAATTCTGTCTGTCCCTGAGTAACAATTCTCTGGCACTCTCAGTAACAATTCTGTCTGTCCCTGAGTAAAAATTTCTGTGGCCCTAAGTAAAGTTTCTGTGGCCCTGAGTGAGTAACAATTCTTCTCTGGCACTCAATTCTGTAAGTAACAATTCTGTCTGTCCCTGAGTAACAATTCTCTGGCACTCAGTAACAATTCTGTGTCTGTCCCTGAGTAACAATTCTCTGGCACTCAGTAACAATTCTGTCTGTCCCTGAGTAAAAATTCTGTGGCCCTAAGTAAAAGTTTCTGTGGCCCTGAGTAACAATTCTCTGGCACTCCGTAACAATTCTGTCTGTCCCTGAGTAACAATTCTCTGGCACTCAGTAACAATTCTGTCTGTCCCTGAGTAAAAATTCTGTGGCCCTAAGTAAAAGTTTCTGTGGCCCTAAGTAACAATTCTCTGGCACTCAGTAACAATTCTGTCTGTCCCTCTGAGTAACAATTCTCTGGCACTCAGTAACAATTCTGTCTGTCCCTGAGTAGTAACAATTCTCTGGCACTCAGTAACAATTCTGTCTGTCCCTGAGTAACAATTCTCTGGCACTCAGTAACAATTCTGTCTCTGTCCCTGAGTAAAAAATTCTGTGGCCCTAAGTAAAGTTTCTGTGGCCCTGAGTAACAATTCTCTGGCACTCAGTACAACAATTCTGTCTGTCCCTGAGTAAAAAATTCTGTGGCCCTAAGTAAAGTTTCTGTGGCCCTGAGTAAACAATTCTCTGGCACTCAGTAACAATTCTGTCTGTCCCTGAGTAACAATTCTCTCTGGCACTCAGTAACAATTCTGTCTGTCCCTGAGTAACAATTCTCTGGCACTCAGTAACAATTCTGTCTGTGTCTGTCCCTGTGAGTAAAAAATTCTGTGGCCCTAAGTAAAAGTTTCTGTGGCCCTGAGTAACAATTCTCTGGCACTCCAGTAACAATTCTGTCTGTCCCTGAGTAACAATTCTCTGGCACTCAGTAACAATTCTGTCTGTCCCTGAGTAAAAATTCTGTGGCCCTAAATTAAAGTTTCTGTGGCCCTGAGTAACAATTCTCTGGCACTCAGTAACAATTCTGTCTGTCCCTGAGTAACAATTCTCTGGCACTCAGTAACAATTCTGTCTGTCCCTGAGTAACAATTCTCTGGCACTCAGTAACAGTTTCTGTCTGTCCCTGAGTAACAATTCTCTGGCACTCCGTAACAATTCTGTCTGTCCCTGAGTATGAATTCTGTGGCCCTAACTAGCGTTTCTTTGTCCCTAAGTAACAGTTCTGTGGCCCTGAGTAACAATTCTGTGTCTGTGCGAGTAACAATTCTGTGGCCCTAAGTAACAGTTCTGTGGCCCTCAGTAACAGTTCTGTGTCTGTGCGAGTAACAATTCTGTGTCTGTGCGAGTAACAATTCTGTGGCCCTAAGTAACAGTTCTGTGGCCTTCAGTAACAATTCTGTGACTGTGCGAGTAACAATTCTGTGTCTGTGCGAGTAACAATTCTGTCTGGCCTAGTAAAGTTTCTGTGGCCCTAAGTAACAATTCTCTGGCACTCAGTAACAATTCTGTCTGTCCCTGAGTAACAATTCTCTGGCACTCAGTAACAATTCTGTCTGTCCCTGAGTAAAAATTCTGTGGCCCTAAGTAAAGTTTCTGGGGCCCTGAGTAACAATTCTCTGGCACTCAGTAACAATTCTGTCTGTCCCTCTGAGTAACAATTCTCTGGCACTCAGTAACAATTCTGTCTGTCCCTGAGTAAAAATTCTGTGGCCCTAAGTAAATTTTTTCTGTGGCCCTAAGTAACACAATTCTCTGGCACTCAGTAACAATTCTGTCTGTCCCTGAGTAACAATTCTCTGGCACTCAGTAACAATTCTGTCTGTCCCTGAGTAAAAAATTCTGTGGCCCTAATTAAAGTTTCTGTGGCCCTAAGTAACAATTCTCTGGCACTCAGTAACAATTCTGTCTGTCCCTGAGTAACAATTCTCTGGCACTCAGTAACAATTCTGTCTGTCCCTGAGTAAAATTCTGTGGCCCTAAGTAAAGTTTCTGTGGCCCTGAGTAACAATTCTCTGGCACTCCGTAACAATTCTGTCTGTCCCTGAGTAACAATTCTCTGGCACTCGTAACAATTCTGTCTGTCCCTGAGTAACAATTCTCTGGCACTCCGTAACAATTCTGTCTGTCCCTGAGTAACAATTCTCTGGCACTCAGTAACAATTCTGTCTGTCCCTGAGTAAAAAATTCTGTGGCCCTAATTAAAGTTTCTGTGGCACTAAGTAACAATTCTCTGGCACTCAGTAACAATTCTGTCTGTCCCTGAGTAACAATTCTCTGGCACTCCAGTAACAATTCTGTCTGTCCCTGAGTAACAATTCTCTGGCACTCAGTAACAATTCTGTCTGTCCCTGAGTAACAATTCTCTGGCACTCAGTAACAATTCTGTCTGTCCCTGAGTAAAAATTCTGTGGCCCTAAGTAAAGTTTCTGTGGCCCTGAGTAACAATTCTCTGGCACTCCGTAACAATTCTGTCTGTCCCTGAGTAACAATTCTCTGGCACTCAGTAACAATTCTGTCTGTCCCTGAGTAAAAATTCTGTGGCCCTAAGTAAAGTTTCTGTGGCCCTGAGTAACAATTCTCTGGCACTCCGTAACAATTCTGTCTGTCCCTGAGTATGAATTCTGTGGCCCTAACTTGCGTTTCTTTGTCCCTAAGTAACAGTTCTGTGGCCCTGAGTAACAATTCTGTGTCTGTGCGAGTAACAATTCTGTGGCCTTAAGTAACAGTTCTGTGGCCCTCAGTAACAGTTCTGTGTCTGTGCGAGTAACAATTCTGTGTCTGTGCGAGTAACAATTCTGTGGCCCTAAGTAACAGTTCTGTGGCCTTCAGTAACAATTCTGTGTCTGTGCGAGTAACAATTCTCTGTGTCTGTGTCTGTCCCTGAGTAACAATTCTGTGGCCCTAAGTAAAGTTTCTGTGGCCCTAAGTAACAATTCTCTGGCACTCAGTAACAATTCTGTCTGTCCCTGAGTAACAATTCTCTGGCACTCAGTAACAATTCTGTCTGTCCCTGAGTAAAAATTCTGTGGCCCTAAGTAAAGTTTCTGGGGCCCTGAGTAACAATTCTCTGGCACTCCGTAACAATTCTGTCTGTCCCTGAGTAACAATTCTCTGGCACTCAGTAACAATTCTGTCTGTCCCTGAGTAAAAATTCTGTGGCCCTAATAACGTTTCTGTGGCCCTAAGTAACAATTCTCTGGCACTGAGTAACAATTCTGTCTGTCCCTGAGTATGAATTCTGTGGCCCTAACTAGCGTTTCTTTGTCCCTAAATAACGATTCTGTGGCCCTCATTAACAAGTCTGTGTCCCTGAGTAATGGTTCTTTGTCCCTAAGTAACTTTTCTCTGTCCCCAATTATCGTTTCTGTGGCCCTAACTCTGTCCCTGTCCCTAGTACAGAGCGGTCTGCCTCTGTTCAATGACTGCAGGCAAATGAAGAATTCCAAAATGGCCGCTATTTTTATAGCTCGACCATTACACAGTGCTGGCTGGCTGGCTGCTGATTGGCTGATGCGATCACATGTAGTTGAGGAATGCATTATGGGTCAGCGCGCCTTGTCTGCGCGCCTTCCCAGACATCCCCGCTCCGTCGCCGCACATGTCAGCCGCCATTTTCTGAAAAATTTCGATTCGCGCGTCCGAATTAGGCTATTTTTCGGATTCGGCACGAATCGAAATTTTTCCGATATTCGACTCGAATTCCACTTCGGATACTTCGATTCGCTCATCTCTAGTACGTAGATCAAGCATATCTGAAAACTCACCAACTCCTTTCTTTTAATAGGGAAAATAAACACATAATATACTGTATAGAAAAGTCCCTTAGGTGAAAATTTCTAATTAGCATCTTTCAGGTCTCAAAGCTGATTACTAGGTCAATCTAAGATGAAGAAACCTGTATAAAGTAAAGAGGGAGAACTAATAAGAGAGGAGAAGCAACCTAGTAGGTGGAGGGAATATTTTGCAGATAAAGCCAACTCAGGCTTGCTAGAATGGATTATCTACAAAAATAGAAACTATAGATGGGGAGAGTTTGATAACTGATGTAAAACCTTTCAACCTATGTAGAGATCAGCAAAGCCATTAAAGAGACGGAGAATTGTAAAGCAGAAGGCACAGACAATGTTTTATGTTCTCAATACCAACCTTCAGTAACTGCTTCTTTCATTGTTCCTATCCTAAAACAAATTTGGGAAAAAGAAGAGATGTCAGTGAATGGAACATAGGAGTTTTTTTATTTAACTTTTTTTTATAAGAATTTTTTTAGTATAAAAAGTATAAAAGAAGATAGTTGTAATTCAGTTGGACACAGTCTGCATAATTTTTGTAGATTTGTCATCATGTCAGGGGCGGACTGACAACTCATGGGGCCCCTGGGCAATAGGGGATCATGGGGCCCTGTGTGTCCTTACCCATACTCAAAAAAGCCTATGAAAAAAGTACCAGGGGCATCTCATGGGGCCCCTTACTGGCCCCCTGGCCCTCGAGCAGTGTCCGAGTTTCCAAATGGTCAGTCCACCACTGCATCATATATGTATTTTTATAGCAGGGGCGGACTGACCATTCGAGCACTCGGGCACTGCTTGAGGACCCGGGGTCAGTAGGGGGCCCCATGAAATGCCCCTGGTACCTTTTTTATAAGCTTTTTTGGGTGTGCTTTGAGTGTGGGCAAGGACACAGGGGCCCCATGATCCCCTATTGCCTTGGGGCCCCATGAGTTGTCAGTCCGCCCCTGGTTTATAGATACAAAAACTGGATAGAAGAGCTTTTATGGTGTACACAATATAAAGAAAAGACCCTGCAAGTGCATCAGCTGCATGATGATGAAAGCCTTTCCCATACAGATTCACTCTGCACATTGACATAACCAAACAAACAGCTATTTCTTCAACAGTTTTTTATTGCAATGTACATTGATCACCCGGAAGGGAATATTTTTCTTCTCCACAAAAGGCGAGTTCCTCTTTAGTTCTTTTGCTGCCAGAGCCGTTTTTCTATTTTTTTTGCACACATGTTTAAAAAAATCATTTGTCGCCAGCGAAATGGCGACAAACTTCAATACCACATATTTTCTATAGGTGACGCTTTAAAAGCATCATCAGTTTTGCATTACTGGGGAGGTCTGATGCTAGAAATATTGCTCTCACTCCAGCATGCTTAGCAATATGTTCAGATGAACTCAAACTCTGCATGAGCTTGGCCTTGAATCTCATCCCTACGCATAGACAGACCATGTTAGCGCAATGTGGGTTATCATGGAGCATTGTGTTGTGTACATATAATGAATAGAGAATGCCTGCAGCCAGCCAAGAAAGCTAGGGACATTCTGGACATGATCATGTGCTTTGTGAAGGAAATTTATGGAATCTCTCACGTCATGCTTGAAAGATATACAAACCCTATATCATCCAACCTGGCATCAGACACTGAAGGTTGCTGTTCTCAGTGCTCTTTATCCTATCTTGGATGATGGTACGAATGAGATGCTGAATTCCTAAAATTTCTGAGGTTGGCATCTTGAAGACTTCAGCTGTGATGACAGTGGCATTTTTTACACATCCCAAAAGAAAGACCAAATCAATAAAGAGCTACGAGAAAAAGAATGCAAAGTGGACTTGAAAATTAATAAAACAAAGACATTCAAATGAAAATAGTACAAAAAGAGCATTATCTTAAATTATGTCTACAACAAAAAAACAAAAGCGTAATAGTTAAGCTTAAAGGATAAGTTCACCTTTGGGAACATGTTACATGTTCCACCTGTTTTTAGGGTGGAACATGTAACATGTTCCCAGTGCTGCAGCTGCTCCCCTGTCCCTCTGACAGAAATACGGGAAGAAGTTCCCCATACTATCTATCAGATTTGAAAACAGTGAGGCCGTGTGGGGCTCCGACCACAAGGTTGCATCATTCATTCACAGTTTTTTGTGAATTAATGTACTACAAGTCCCATCAGCCTTGAATATTCCTGTCAGTATATTGGCTTGCTCATACATCCTGTATGGACAAGCAGATATACTGACGGGTCTGCAGGAGACCTGAATGGCAATGCTTTCCAGGCTCCTGCAACCAAAATTAATAAATGCACATTTTTTTACCTGCAAAAAAGGTGCATTTATTATTTTTGTGCAAAAGGTTTACTCATTCTTTAAATATGGTGGTTGCATTAGTTTAATTTTGCCGGCTAAGCACAATTTCAGCAGGTACAAAAAATACTTATGATTTTGCCAGTAATGCTGTGTAACTTCTGGTGAACCAAATTGAAATCTCAATCTTCTTATTTCCCAGTCATCTTCTGTAATCTACATGTAGGTGGTGTGCAGCGTTATGTGGTGGCAATAACACACACAGCTGGGTGCAATGCAAAGAACTTATATTGAAGTAAAGCAAAGATAGTGCAAAACAAACCCAGTGGGAAGACAGCTCAATCGAGAACACTCATGAAATCCAACAGCGTGTAGAGAAACAGGTTTCAGCTGAACTGGCAGAGCCTGTTAGGAGGGACTGAATGTGACCTGGCCATCTTGTGCCCAAGTGAGAAGAAGTCCAGAGTAGTTGCAAACCGTATGCTTCCCTCCTCATCAGGAACCTTTCCCTGCCACTAGTACTGCCCAAAACAGGTGGGGTACCTATCCCTACACTACCCACATGCAATTGCTCATCAAATCCTGGGGAGCAGGGTCTTAAAAAGGCTCTGCTGACCCAAGTTGGCCTCCAACGGTCACCTAGATTCAGCGCAGCCAACAGGAACTCTGCCTGCAGGAACTAGGAAACCACAAAGTAATTAAATTTCCTTTGATTTCCTCTCCAAGCCTCCTACAGTGGAGGAGCAGTTTACACCTGTCTACATACACATTTCCCCACCCCTCCAATATAATAGAGATGAAGAGAGCACAATATGTTTGCATTCTAAATCAGGAGAGCAACGTAGTGTGACAGGGCTGCTTTCTCCATAGATACAGTGGATTGATTGAGTGTAGACTCTTAAAGGCAGGAAGTGTGTTACTCGCAAGATAACCAGATGAAAATGATTGAAAAAAAAATGCCTGGAAAAAATGAAAAATAATGCAGCCATCACATCTAAGGACTTGTGGGCTCCAATATATGACATTGTTTTGTAAGCTCTCATAAGCTGGGCTTTTCTAACCCCCTTGAATGTAGTATATTGTAATTTTACTGTCATACTTTATTGTGTATATCACTGCACAAACTGTTGGTGCTATATAAATCCTGTATAATAATAATAATATAATAATTTTATGGGGTTAGATCATTTAAACAAAAGGGAAACAAAAAATGTGCAGTCATTCTGCTGATATCTGGGTAGCTATGTAAGTAAAGATAAAGGGCAGATCCCTTTGAGAATGTGCATGTGCACGAAACGTGTCAAGGAGGAGCCTACGTGCTGATGTCACACCATGTGATGGTCCGGCGGCCATCTTTGTGAGTGTTTTTATATTTTGCCTGTTAGAGCTCCACGTGTTTACTGTATTTTATAATAAACATAGTACACTATATGAGGGTGTTTCTGGGCTCTGTTTTTGAGTTTGCTCTTTAGGAGGAATCCTATCCCTGAATAAGTGTGGGCTGGAGATGAATATGGAGCAAGTTTATCCCTAAGTGTCAGTCTGTTTCCTTCTGACTTGCTGCTGGCTTCTGGAGAGATCTCATCTTTGGATAGACCCCGCTGACTGTAATGTGAGATTTGAGCAGAGTTTCCCTTAAGTGCCAGTCCATTCTATGCTGGTTTGCTCCTTGCTTCTGGTGAGTGCATAATGGTGGAGGCTTAACGCGAAAATCACAGAAGTCACTTACACTTATATATTTTCTCTGGTTGATCACATATTTGAGACTATTATTATCTTTCCCCTGCCTGGGGACTTCATAACTATTGTACATCACCTGTACGTTTACAATTTATACATTTGATATTGATTTTAATGTGAAAATCACAAAAATCACTGATATATATATCTGCTTGGCTGATCACATCACATATTTGGGACTATTGATATTTTTTTCCCTGCTTGGGGACTTCCTATTATTGTGTATCGCCTGTACTTTTACAATTTATATATCTGATACATGTTTTAATTTTATTCTATTTAATCATTTTCTTTAGCTCTGCACTTTTTTATTATCATTTAAAGATAAAAGAACTACTGAAGTAATCAATATATAAATAAAGTCAGAGCAATTGTAGATTTTAATCAAAGGATTTCATCAATTTTGTGCTCTGTAATACGGTATCCAAACGTGATCTCCACTTCTGAATTATGTGCATTATTTGCTCAGCCTACAGCCAGATAAATGACCAGATAATAAAAGTAGCCATGGAGAGGCCATACTCTTTAGTTTGGTATGGTCCCAAAAGATAAGCACTTGTAATCCCTAAGGTAATTGATAAAAAGGGAGGCTAAAGCCAGCCATAGATGTGGCAGCTGTGAAACATGTTTTTTGTGAAACAAATGATGGCACAAGCATATGAGCTATTTTCAACAGAATATATGGTTTTCAAATGATCTATGGATAGCTTAAAGCTGGCCATACACTAGTAGAATTTCATTTGAAAGTTTTCATTTTTGGAAAGTTAGAAAATTTTACTTGCATTAACAAATTTCTAAGATTGTATGTAGTTTCCTTTTGGGAAATCTCATTCATAACAACATTGAATGTTAAAAGCAAGAACATTTTTGAATTACTTTCGAATGACATTTATCAAGTCTCTGTTGGCATTACCAAATGTACTGATGAGATTTATCACATACTGTACACATTCACTCAAAACTCTACCAATGTATTGCCAACTGAAGGTAAAACTCAGAATGCACCAATAAATCAAGTAAAAAAAAGAATGGTAATTCTCCACATTCGAGTAAAAGAAAATAAGACTGCAATACGTACACTTACCGGCCACGTTATTAAGTACACCTTGCTAGTACCAGGTTGGACACTGTTTTGCCTTCAGCACTGCCTTAATTCTTCGTGGCATAGATTTAGCAAGGTGTTGGAAACATTCCTCAGAGATTTTGGTCCATATATCCATTAGTTACTGTTGCCTTTCTATTATCTCAAACCAGTCTGTCCATTCTTCTCTTACCTCTGACATCAACAAGGCATTTTCATCTACACAACTGCCGCTCTCTGGATATTTTCTCTTTTTCGGACCATTCTCTGTAAACAGTCCAACTTTTATTCAGCATCTCTGTGTAAAAAATAACCAGTGATACTAATATTTTCTAAGTGAATTCACTAAGAACATATTAGTATCACTGGTTATTTTTTACAGAGACGCTGAATAAAAGTTGGACTGTTTATGACTTTCGGGGGTGAAAGTGGTTTTTGGCATCGGGGAATTTTTCATTTGTTACATTTTGGTTTATTATTTTGTGTCATCACCTAGTATTATACTGATACATTAATGTATTCATTCTCTGTAAACCCTAGAGATGGTTGTACATAAAAAATCTTAGTAGATCAGCAGTTTTTGAAATACTTAGACCAGTCTG